GTTATTATTAATTTTAGGGTAAATTATAATAAGAAAATTAATTTACCAGTCGATATCCTGAGGGATTTCTATAAAAAGACCATTTCTTCATTATATTAGCTGTATCCTTAGACTTGATAACGTCTAGACGAATTTGCAACAGGCTTTCCAAGTCGCATCAAGTGGGTCCGATGTTAAATTGTCGAATTTGAGGGCTTGAAGGCAGGTCTCAAGTTTCAACATCTTCTTCCGGTTCTAAAAGACGTATATCAAAATAATTAAAATGCCAAATATTAAAAGAACATTCGAATTTACCATAATCAGTTCCATGCCTCGACTTGTTACTATGTTTTTCTTCTTTTTATTTTTTATCTTCTGAAACATATTTGGAAACCGCTGTTTTAATGAATACCCACACCAGAGATCTCACACAGCGGAATTTGATTTGACAACACAACAAATTAACTACAATACGATAGGACTTTTATTTAACATATTGAAGAGAACACTTACCGCTCTAATGAAACTAAAGCCTCACTGAATAACTCAACCACACAGACGTTATTAAAGTGCCAAAGTAACCGATCAACATGGCGGACATTTAAGCCCTAATATTTTATTCATGATATTAATAACCGCGTACATTAATATAATGTAGTGTGTTCGTTGTATTAATATCATTGTTCATTGTCACAATGTACAACTCATTAATCAATGATTTAGTACATTAATATAATGAATATGTGTTTATTAAAGTTTGAGCACTAAAATAAAGAACGCGTTCATTGGGACAATGAACGCGTTCATTATATTAATGAAAATCTTACATTAATTTAATAACCAGGTTTTCATTATATTGATGAAATTAGATTCATAGTATTAATAAATCGAACATCGATCTATGATTAACAAATCATTATATTAATGAAAAAAATCATTGTCAACAGTTAATAATCAATGTTCATTAATATTATGAACAATATTTTTTTCAGTGTGGATTGCAAAAGTTTATACCAGGTTACAAGGGTAATTAGGATGGAAATAAGCACCCTGGCGAAGCTATTAATTAGAGCGAGAGGGCGCTGGCGTATCGTCGACGGCGCTACCTCGTTATTTATACCAACGATTAAATTCGAGTGCAAAGGAGGATTCGCCACGAAGAAAACCAGGGATAGGGATGTCCAGTTTAAGAAAAAAATGTCGATATTTTTTTGTAGCAAAGTTTTCATGCACTATCATTTATACTATACAGGGTGTTTTTCAAAAGTGGCTCGCCTCGGTCGCGTGGTCGTGTTTACTTTATTTTATTTTACTCAAATACTTCAGTACTTGGTCCATTTTTTAAAACATTTTTTGTAAATTAAAGTAAAACAATTCTACAAGAACGGAAACTTCTGCAGCACATTCTGCAGATAAAAATAAGTAAAAAAGTTCGTATAAATGTATGTCCTAAAATACTTAGTTTCGGAGATACAGGGTGTAGAAATTTCATTGTTATTTCAATTTGTCCAAATAATAACGTCAATATTTGGATGAAAATTGATACCTGGGAGTGTTTTTTGACCTGGGAAATTTGATTTTGATGTCAATATGACTCCTACTTGTAGAAGGCGCCACCTACATATTTTTTAACTGCTTTGAAGGCTAATAACTTTCCGTCCGTACTTGTATAAAACTAGTAAAAAAATATACATTTACGACGTTTTTTTTACGTAAAAAAGGTCTCTTGATAAAAGTCGCTACGAGTAATGGTTCTCAAGATATTTTGAATCTAAATTATCAATATACCTGTCATCATTGACATTAATCAAATATGTTGACTAAATAGTTATTAGACTGAAATGATAAATTTAAAATGTTTTGGTGCCAAATGTTCAACAAAAACTGTTTTATCATCATTTTTTCGAAGGAAAATTTATGATTTAATTAAAAAAATAAGTTCCCAAATTTATCATTTCGGTCAAATAACTATCTACTCAACATGTTTAATTTTTGTCAGTGACATGTATTAACTATTTTCATTCTAAATATCTTGACTACGATTGCTCGTGGCGATTTTTACCAAGAGATCTTTTTTACGTAAAAAACGTCGTGAATGTTTTTTTTTTGCTCAGTAGTTTTATAAAAGTACGGGCGAAAACTTATTACACTTCAAACTAGTATATATATGTAGGTAGCTCCCTCTACACGTAAGAGTCATATTGACGTCGAAATCAAATTTCTAATGTCAAAAAAAACCCTAGGTACCAATTTTCATCCAAATATCGACATTACTTCTACACCCCGTATCTCCGAAACTAAGCGTTTTAGAACATACATTTATACGAACTTTTTTACTTATTTTTATCTGCAGAATATACAGTCAAACTTTCCGGAATACAGTTCGGACCACCCTGTATAATATTTATCCAACTTCTGTAATATTTAATTTTTTAGACGTATAAAATATTAATGGGTAAAGTTTTGACATGGAATACTTTTGCATTATGCCGTTAATCGCAAAAGTTTATAGGAGGTCACAAGACCAACTTGGACGAAAACAAGAACACTAACAAGGTTGTTAGTTAGGGTAAGATGGCACTGGTTCTCGGCGCATCCTTATAATATTATAAATTAGGTCAAAAAAAGTTAAGTTTTTCTTTGAAGTAATGATAGGCAAAGAACATGCAAAGGAAAAAGTCACCTAAATGATGATGTACTTAACAAATGAGTTGTTAATCAGTTGTCTTCTTCAACTGATTAACAACTTGTAGTGTTTTTATTTCTTTTCTTAAAAATTTAAATTAAATATTTAGTTTTTTATGATTTTTTCTAACGCCATCTATTCGCTACATGTCGAACTTGCCAAACTTCATACATATATTATACAGTTCACTTTTCTCGGTCATTTGACATGGTGATGTCGCTTGTCATTCTATCTTCTCTCTGCTATCTTCTATTTCCGTTTTTACAAGATGAAAAACAAGAAGTAGGCTTTTCTTTCTTTTTTCTGGGAGATCGGATCTGTTAGAGACGCGTTGTTCGGTGTCCATACGATTCTTTCAGTAAAAAGCACTCTGAATCCGCTTTTTAACTGTAATTGCATGGGTATCCGATCTGGAGATTTGAAGACCTTTTTGAAGTATGCAGTTCAGAGAGTATAGTTCGTATTTTGTTGGTTTTTCTTGGAATATATCACCATAAGTGTATCCGCCATTTTGCATCACCATAACTAACTAAATTTTATTTCAGTTATTCCCGTTTTTTTATTTGTTTTGAAGGTTTTGATTAATATTTAATTACTGGTTTGAATATATTTTGGTTTATGTAAAGCTGTATTTCAGACCGTAAGTTGTTTTTTTGGTTAAGTATCTGTTCTGAGAACTATCTTTTATTTATAGAGTAATTATACGGACATAAGTAATTATTAGGACCTTAGTAATTGTATGGATATAAGTATTTACATGACCACAGTAATCCCATGGACACAGTAATTGTATGCCGCTTAAATTTCACCCACTTTCATTTTGTATGGACCTTAAGACAGCATTCATGACCTTACGTTTGTTCTTCTACTGATATCGAAGACTCCTGCTGCCATAGTCATCTGCTTCCACTTCTGTTAGTCTAGAGACTACCTATCTACCTGTTTACAACATCATAAGGAACTATACAGATAAGTCCTAATTTCGATACACAAGGTACTCCTGTATTTTACAATTTTTGAGACAACGCAACGGTTCTCTGTAAATTATGCAACGAATCTCTGTAAATTATTATTATTTATCCCATATATTATAGTCAAAAATTACCTTTCAGTTAACGTTATAAGTTATAATTTGATTCAAACAGTATACTTTTACTTTGTTATGATATTTTATATGAAAATTACTATACGTATTCATTCTTAAAGGTTTTTGTACACGACATGTTTCGAAACATCATCGTATTGATACATATATAAATTTCACCTGTTTTTATATTAAGTAATATAGTTACAATTACTACAAAGAAGAATACAGTTACTGAATTCGAATTTATTTAAAATAACTTACAGTTTTATTGGGATCATTGAAACTAACTGGTACTTGTGTTCGTTTTTTAAATAAATGTTTTATGTAGGATAGTTATCTCTGACTTTTATTCTTGATAAACATAATAGACCCATATTGCTGTTGATTACTTTAATCTAGCTATTTTGTGATAAAATATTCTTCATTTTGGTTTCTTACTTTACCTCTTTCATACACAAAGTAAGTGGCGCCCTTTTTACTGTCTTTGACAACAATACATAAAATCAATCTTAAAATCATAAAATCAATCTTAACATCAATATTAAAATCTTTGCAACCTAAATATTATCATTTTTTATATTTATATTTAATAACCTTAGAAAGTCACCACAAGCCAGAAGCCTTACCTACGAACCCAGCTCTCCTCTAACCCTGAGCAACGGATACTTTTTTCTTTCTGTTTGGGTAATGACAGAAAAGTCGTCACAAACTCTTTTGTGTATTTAATTATTGTGATATTTTTATAAATTAAACTTTTAACCACTGGTTTCTTTAAGACGTGTACTCTTAGTTTAGAAAATAACAATTCACATTTCAATACATGCAATCATAGAAACGATAATATAAGATATTGACAAACTTAAGATGCGTTAAGGTGTAACGCGACTTCGTCCGCGTTACACTTCGAAGCGTCCTTGCATTTCGTTAGGGTTACTAGACGTCCAGATTAATCCGGACCTTTATCCGGACATGCCGGATTTTCACTACAACCCGTTGGGTCCGGGCGGATTTTTCATAAGTTTCCGGTTTTAATGTTCTCTTTTTAGAAATGTCGCAATGATGCAAAATAATATATTACTTTTAATAAATTTAGTTAAAAAATCGTTGATAAATTCAGCAGTGTAAATTAATTGTTTTATTTCGTAAGTTTTAAGTTTTGAAAGTTATAAATGTATTTTTTTTCAAATGTCACAAAAGTATCTTATTATTTTTTTGACACGTGATTGACAACATAAAATAGCTATTTATGTAACAAGTTGCGAAATGAATGTGTTTTAAGCACGGGATGCAAAATTGGACAATGCGTCGAGTTGATTTTTTAAAATGTTCTGGTAATCGTTTTCTAAGTTTCTAAGTTTTATGTTTAATGACAAAGTTCTGTCAGGTTCAAACGTCGCCGTATTTCCTACAAAGTTTTGTGAGAAAATGAGTGATAATGACGAGTCTTTGGATATTTAACAAGCTGCTGAAACTGCGCTACCCACGTTAGTGTCCGAGCAGTCCAAAAACTTATACGAGACCACCTACAACTTTGAAATCTGGGTCAAAGAAAAACATGTTGAGAATTTCACAGAAAAGGTATTGCTAGCCTATTTCCTGAAGTTATCCACTACCTTAAAGCCGTTAACTCTGTGGAGTAAATAATCGATGCTCCGCACCATGATTTACCTGAACAGAAACGTAGATATTAGCAAATTCACAAACCTTATTGCATTTTTAAAAAGAAAAGCTTCCGGATATCAGGCAAAGAAATCAAAAGTATTTACCAAACTGGAAATAGAACGCTTTATGAAAGAAGCTGATGACAAAGAATTCCTGTTGTCTTAATCTTTGGAGTATTTGGAGCATGTAGAAGGGAAGAAATCACGTTTCTGACCGTAGATGCCATTAAAGATTGTCAGCCAGTGGTGTGAAGATTCCGAATACAAAAACTCATTTTCCAAGAGTGTTTAAGTTTACGATTACTGAGGGACCAATAGATGGTATCAATTTCTTACATGCATTTCGTAAGAACGCAAAACTTCGACCACGCAATGTGACACATCAGCGATTTTTCTTGACGTATCGAAAAAACCAATGCTGTACCCAGTTGGAATCAATACAATTGGAGGTATGCCAAAAGAGATAGCGGAATTTCTTGGACTCTCAAACGCCATTGAATACACTGGTCATTGTTTCCGGCGCAGCTCTGCAGCAATGCTGGCAGATTCAGGAGCGGACATAACAGTTTTAAAGCGACATGGAGGCTGGCGATCAAGCTCGGTTGCTGAAGGTTACATTGAAAATTCAATTAAACCGAAATAGCAAAAAGAATCATGGGACAGAAATATACGCCAAATAAGAAATTAAAAGCAGTTCGCTTAGAAGCAGAAGCTACCAGCATTGCCAGTACAAAAAATTTACTTATTCCGACTCCTACAACTTGCATTTCTCTTAGAGACTAAAAGTTGGATGCCTCTTGTATTCACTTTAATAATTTGGTAACAGTTGCATATACGGTCTTCGGCTATTTTTGTATTATATGGAAAAAAAATTATATACTCACATTCTATTGACCTTAGAGATTGTAAATATGCTGGGGGAGAAGAGAAATTGTGTTTCTTTAAGTATTTTTTCAACCAAACAAACTTACGGGACCGGGGAGCAAATAGGGGTGCTAGGCGGGGTAAAAGCGTACAAACTGGTAAAACATGACATACAAATATAGAAAAATCGCATTTTCCATTTAAAAAAAACTATCCACAGATCATATAAACTATCCAAAATGAAAATCGCAATCTCCAAAATGAAGTTTGCTCGTGTATTCTGTGGATTCCGCTCTCAAGAGCCCAAGACCGTCTTGGCGTCTCGAGACGCAACTATAAATACGGGCCTAAGGTTTGCAGAACTTCAGTATTTGCCATAAAATAGCGAGCAATTTATTATAGAACCATATAAATTATATATCACTGCAATCACAAAACTTCAATCTATTTCCGTATTGTAACGGAATTAGTTAAAATTATATTTTCGAGAAAATTTAGTAGGAATATTTTGTTGATGTTTGACCATCAAAATTTTAAAAATAAAGAAGTTGCCTAAAAATGTGCTACAATAATACGGATATAGTATAATCCTTTATCTTTAATTTCCTTCTTCATTTGTGTAAAAATACCTAGCCAGTTTTACATAAAACGTTAAATACCGAACGCTTATTTTGCTACTTTTTCGAACTAGTGAAATGGACTCTTAAGAGGTTCGCGAGTAAATATTCTATGAAATATTTTAAACAAGCTTTATGCACGACAAAACTTAATTCTTTATTACTTAGGCTACATCGTAACTTTAATTCGCTTAAAACGTAATGTTTGCAATAAGAACACTTTTATGCCGTGCAGTAGATCACAAGTGTTTATGCGAGGCAACAAGAATAATTAGCATGGAAATATGCATCCAGAGGAGGCTATTAATTAGTGCAAAAGTACGTGGGCGTCTTGTCGGCGTGCTCTCGTTGTTTATTAAAACGATTATGTTCTCGCGAAGCGGAGACATTTTCTTGCTGCGAAAAAGAAAGAAAAGTAAGAATAACAAGGGAATCAGAGTGTAAGAACGATTTAAAGTATCTTTGTAAATTTGTAAATTAATTGCAAATTAATTTGTTTGCTTCGAAGGGTTTTTTAATTAAAGATAGTTTGCCTGTTTTCTGTTAACTAAATTTAATCTATTCGATTTTTATGTTTTTATTGTTGTTGATTGTTATTGATAGAATTTTTATTAACATCATATTTTTTGCTGTTTAAAGATGTTAAAGAAGCGCAAAATTTATTTAGTTCAATGCTTAGGATAGGGCGATAGGGTGATAATAGTTGTCGGAAAATGTGATACTTCAACAACAGCAACAAATACGACGTTAATTAAAATTCATATATCCATCTATCAAAGAATGAAATCGAAATTATATTACCATAGAAACGCCTTTTGGTATTTAGGATATTAGGAAAGAGTTCAACCACATTTTCGTTTTTTTTTACTTTTCTTTAAAATGGTATGGAAATTTGGAAAAGTATACCTAAACGAGATTAACCATTTTAATACAAGCAAAAAGCTTTATGAAGAATGCATTTTTCTCAAAATGTCAAAAATAAAAACGTTTTTTTCCTCTTGTAAAGACAATCCGGGGACAGAAGATCGGTCCATTGTGGATGAACATAATGAACTTTCATATTGACTACAGCACTGGGCAGTAGTACCATGTAGTACAGCACGTGCTAAATCATCTCGTCTTCCTGTTTACCTTACTTGTAAGGTATATTTGATGTCAATTAAACTTTTAGTTACGTAATCGAGGGCGCAATTTTTAAATTCATTGTTACCAACCGTGGAGATATTCGGCGGCGGGCTGACTAAGTGGAATTTAAATTTCGCGCTGGGGATTCAGGTGGTAGCTCTGCTGTAAAAAATGTCAAGTTGCCGCATTTATTTATTTATTTCCTAACATTGTCATTAATTTTGACACTTTAGTTTTGTATTACGAGTTTTTGGTTGAAATAAATAGTGTTGTGATGCATTAAGCTTAAAAATGTTTACTAGTAGACCTTGCAGTCGAACATTATTCTTTTTAGAACTTCTTTTAGTGCGAAGTGGTACAAGATAGCTTAATAGCCGTAAAAAACTCATCGCAACTTTATTAGAATATTTTGCACGGGAAAGAGGTAGTAATGGCCCTTTATGTTCCTTAAATGCTGTTAAGGGGGTGAGTTTTGATGATATAATAATAACTGTTTATATATTTATAATTAATTTATTCTTGTTTCCTAAAATACACACACCGGAAAAATCTAGGGATATCATTTTATTAAAATTAAAAATAAATGTTTTGAATAAACAACCACATATTTATAGGCCGATTTTCTTTCTACTTCGATTGAAACGAAGTAGTCACACTAGTTATTTCTAAATTTGGGATATTTGCAGAAGTGTTTGTGCATTTTTTGTCAAATGTATAAAAAGCACCTAGCATCAATTGTTCGAATTTAACCTGTACTGGCTATGTTTTTATGATAACTGCCCAGAATTCATTCAAATAACTCTGTTTAGTATTAAACAACATTATGGAGCGTAGACATCTTAACAGAGACGAAATGCTAAGGGCCATGGGTATGCTCGAAGCTGGAATGCGCCAAATCGACGTAGCTAGAGCATTAAATATAACGCAAAGTGTAATATCGCGATTAAGTGCACGCTACCGTGAAAGTGGTGATGTTGCTGAAAGGCACACAGGGCGACATCGCATTACTACCCCTCAGCAAGATCATTTTTTTACAATTAAATGCTCGACGCCGACCGACTCTTACAGCGCCAGAGCTTAGTTTAATTCTCCAGGAAACACATAATGTAACCGTTAGTCATGACACTGTTCGCAATAGATTAAGAGAGGTCAACTTAAGAAGCAGACGCCCCTGTAGAGAATGAACAATGGGTCAATGTTCTCTCCACGGATAAGTTACGCTTTGGAATTCATCCGGATTCGAGAAAGCTTAGGGTATGGAGAGAACCGGGAAATCTTATTCGGTTGGATCATGTTCAGGAAGTGCACCCTTATCAAGGTGGAACAGTTATGGTCTGGGGAGGAGTCCAGTTAGGCAGAAAAACCGATCTCGTTTTTCTTGAAAGGTTTCTAGCAGGAATCACATATCGTGATTTAATTCTTGAGCCTGTCGTGTTGCCATATGCCAATGATTTTGGGAGAAACTTCATTCTCATGCATGACAATGCACGGCCTCATACAGCCGGAGTGGTAAGTGAGTTTATCAATGCTCATCAATTAAACATCTTACCCTGGCCGGCACAATATTCTGACCTCAATCCCATGGAACACGTATGGGACGCGGTCCAAAGAAGAATTTTGAGAATGGGTATGCCTCGTGAAACTTTTAGGGATCTGGTTCGGGCCGTGAATGCAGCGTGGCAGGCTGTACCTCAAGTAGTGATGGGCAAAACCGTTATTTTTAGATAACAGTTGAAACTGTTATAGTTATTTATAAAAAACAGCTTTAAATAACAGCTTAAAAATAACAGGTTTCTTTATTTTACTGCTAAATATCTGAAAGAGTATGAGACGGTCACCGCCAGGCGTAATAACGCAGTTGCAAGTTGCAACAATGACGTGCTCGGTGGTAGTATTTCCAGGGTGTCAAAACATTTCTAAATATCGATTGTTATCTAAAATACCTCTCTAAAAACTTTGTTGCTTACAAATAAGCGCTGTTTACAAATTGCGATATAAAAAAAGCCAAAATTCCGCCACTCGTCTATACCTACACATTGCGATCTACCTACGCCCTGCCCCTCGATCCGCGTAGATCCTGAATTGCGTAGCAGTGTACAGGGTGCATATCACTCGACGGGCGAGAAGCTCTTAGTTATGATTTTACCATTTGCGGTAAAAAATAGCAATATAAGAAAATGTGTAGTATATTCTTCATAAGTAAACCAACTACACACTAGAGTTCGAATTAATTTTACACTTAAACTAGCGTGTACCCGCGACTTTGTTCGCGTCGAATTAATAATTTCAAATGGTGATTATAAAGCAAAACAAGAATTTCCATTAACATACAAACTGGATAAAATTTTCTCACATTTGCCAAAAATAAGCTTTCTAACGTCGAGCAGTTTAAGCAGAATCGTGGTTAATCAATTACTCAACTTTTTGGAACACCCTGTATGATTTTTTAAAAAAATTCAAAATATGTAAAAAAACAAAATAAATTATGCGTGTCCAGGCGTTTTCCCGAAAGACTAACCGTTTTTTAAATAACAAATATTGTAATATTTGAGGGGCGTTTTCACCCTGTTGGAATTTGACATTCGAGAAACCCCTCCTTATCGAACCTCAACCCCACAGTCAATCCGTTTGCAAAAAATCAGCTTTAAACGCCCAGCAGTTTAAGCAGAATATTACTCAATGGTCATATTTTATGAAACACCCTGTATATATTTTTAAAAATCTTAAAATATGTAAAACAACATAATAAAATATACGTGTTTTAAGAGTTTTTCCGAAAAACTCACCGGTTTTTAAATAAAAAATATTCTAATATTTGAGAGTAGTTTCACCCCCTTAGAATTCGAGTTTCGAAAAATCCTTTCTTATCGAACCTCTACACACTAAAGTCAATCCGTTTTCCAAAAATCAGCTTTTTACGTCAAGGGCTTTAAGCAGGATCGTGATTAATCAATGACCAGATTTTTCAAACACCCTGTATACATTTTTAAAAAATCTTAAATTTTTCTGAAAATTTTTCAGAATAAATAAATACCTAAATATTGAAACTTAATAAGTAAGTACTGAAACATACAGCGCCATAATATCTCGACCTCCGTCCGTTATGCTCGTAACAGGTTGAAACAGAATGTATCTAAAACAACTGATGCGTTATTCCCCAACCTGTTTCGAACCTCCATCGACAATCGACCGATGCAGCAGCGTTCCTTTCCCACACCGATTATCTCGACCGCCGCCCTGTTATGCTCGTAACAGGTTGAAAAACAACATATCTAAAATGACTGCTTCTCCAACCCGTTGCGAGCCTCCATCGACAATCGACCGATGCAGCAGCGTTCCTTTCCCACACCTGTTATCTCCACCGCCAGGCGTTATGCCCGCAACTGTTTCAAAAAACCTGCTTCTTTTATATCCTATTATTTTTAAGCTGTTGTAAATACGACCATCGACGGTATCGACCGAAGCAGCTACGTTCGCCGTAGCGCTTTCCCCACCCGTTGTCCGTTGTCTCGCCGCCTGTATCGATGGTTGACGAAATAACATGTTTTCCATCCATACTAGTTGTTTTTTGGAATTGCTTCGAGCAGCATAGAATTTCGTGGTGATGCAGAGCGCCGACTTCGTTTTTCGTTTCACGAGCGGCCGATCTCTACGTGTCGTTATTTTATATCTGTTATTTTTTAGAAGTAGTAACGGTTGCGTTATGTTATTTATAAATAATTGTTATAAAATAACAGATAGTTAAATAACAACCCATCACTAACCTCAAGAAGAGATCGACAACCTGATCAGGAGCATGGAGAGACGATGTAGGGCTGTAATGAAAAATAGAGGAGGCCATACCGTTTATTAAGTAAAAATGGTTTTATCTTTTTTTAATTCACAATTTAGAATTAAAAAAAATGTGTGTATTTTTTTGAGTTCAATAAAAATTAAGGTAAATTTGAAAAATTCGGTAAATTTCGCATTTTTATTTCCAATACGTCCTGTAAACTATTTGTTTATTTTAATTTTATTATATCAGAAATGCAAATAATAAAATTACTGACGATGGCTGGATAAAATTATAATATCCCTAGACTTTTCCGGTGTGTGTATTTTGATTAAAAGAAAATATGGGGAAGTAGGTGAATGCTGTGCCGGTCAAGCTTAATCACGTGACTAAAAGTTTATTTGATATGAGCTATAGATGGACCGTTTAACTACAATACACTCTAAAGGTGTAGCGTAATTACATTATGTTCATAATTATTTTTTTTTTCATAACAAGGGGCCTGTTCTCTGCCGGAAACACTGCGACCTGTGAGGCCTATTGTGTTTGTCCCCTTTCTATATCTGCACCCATTCTCCTATCACTGTGCCCTGCACTAACTTATGCAGGTCCTTGATAGGATGGAAGCATAGTTTCTCCGATTCTAGTCTAGCTTTCCCAAATAAAAAGTGTCGCTTGCGATCCAAAGCCTCGCAACTCGCAATGACATATTATGTGCTCCGCTGTTTCAGGATCTTTATCGCAGAGTCTGCAGCAAAGACTTTCTTGATACAGGTTGAGCTTGTTCAGGTAACACTTGACAGCCATGTGTCCTGTCAAGAGGCCTGTTATAGTCATAATTAATTTAATTCTTACCAGAATATTTTTAATAAGTTCAAATTCTTTCTTTGCAGAGTGGAACAACGTATCGGGTCACGACGGTGTAAAGCGCCAGCTGTCCGTGTCCAGCGACAGCAAGTTGCTGGACGAGGACATCAGGGAAGAAACCAAGGTGATCCTGAGGCCGAGAAAGCCACCCCGGCCCAAGTCCGAGGTGCTGCTCAACCAGCAGGGTAGCGACAATCGCAGGACCAAGCGTTACTCTGCTTTCGGGGTATGTTGTCTTTTATTTAGCCGTAACTTTTTAAGCGTTAAGGAGGGTCCACATTTAGTAACATGTTATATAACATTGCTATTTAACAAGCTACATATCACACATTAAAGAACCGGGAGCCGTCCACATTATAGTTTTCGTAATCATGAATCGTTTTGGCAAGAAAGATGTTCTGCACGCAGCAGTGGCGTGCGTAATTATTTTTGAAGAATGAGAAAAAAAAGTCGTGAAAAAAGCGGTTTTGAGTCCGCCATAGCCTACAAGCAAAATCTAGATATAGTTGAACTCAATTAGCTTACCTTTTTAATACCTGCCTGGGCTGTCTCTCGTGGTGTGTTTCTGTTACGCACAATACTCGAATTCGGGTAATGCCCGAAAAAAATGCACAGAACTAGTTTTGAGCAAAAAATATTTCCCAAACCCAAAATTGTACATTTAAACGGGTATTGCGCATTACAAAATAGTCAAAACTAGTATTGTGCATTTAGAATTGTGCAAAACTAGTTTGGTGCATTTCAAAATTTCCAATACTAGTTTTGCTTATCCTAATTGATCAATAACGCCCTAACACAAAGGATGGATTGTTTATGAATGTTTTTGATTCAGTGATTAAACTGACAATAAAATACTTAAAAAAATAAAACTTTATTTATAAATATTTTATAAATGGATAAATACATAATAATATAGGTACCTTATGAATATTTATTCAGTAGCATTATATTGTTTATTTGAACAGGAACTTGAATGGTGGCACTTAGAGTTGCAAATAACATTATTTTTTCTATTACTAACGCTCTATTAATACATTTTTTTATACACATGCATGAAATAAAACTAGTAGATCCGGATATATCTGAAGATGCAGTTCTAAGTGATATTTCCGTTTTATCGCCAACATTGTTTGTCAATAAAAAAATGATTATCAGCTAATTGAAACTCATTTATACAATAAAGTTTTTGTAAAACTTCAGTCTTTGTTGCTAATTTGTGAAACCCATCATCGGCCGATTGTACAAGTCAATATCGTTAAGTATTGGTTTTTCGACATAAAGTTATGTTTCTGTATTTTAGCCATCATCAATCGACTTACCTACTTGAATTTCGAACTCGGGTTCCATTTTTTCCTGCATTTTTATATTTTATTTTACCAAGTATTGCGTATTTCCACCCACAACAAAATCAAAATAAGAATCCTTTAAAACCTAAACAAACTACTAACCCTACTTTTTGCCGTCTTATTTAAAGAAAACGAGCAAAACTAGTATTGGTCATTTTGAACTGCACCAAACTAGTTTTGCACAATTTAAAATGCACAATACTAGTTTTAGCTATTTTGTAATGCGCAATACATGTTTAAATGTACAATTTCGGGTTTGGGAAATATTTTTTGCTCAAAACTAGTTCTGTGCATTTTTTTCGGGCATTACCCGAATTCGAGTATTGTGCGTAATATTTCTATCTTTTAAAAACATTAATAACTTAAAAGCAAACCATTTTGAATTATCCACTTCATCTAAACCAGTACCCGATTTGCATTTCTTTTGTTCCCTCTGGAACTGGCCTATTAGATAACGCATTTTTTCTCAACTTATTCTCTTTCCAAATATATACTTTTTGCAATTTTTAACCATGCGTCATGCTTTTTTTTATTTCACTTTAAATGAGGGACGGGATATCCGTAGTCTATAACACTGTATGATCTCTATACAACTTAATTAGTTGACAAGTCTGTTCTTGGCTCTACTCCATTAATAATATAAGAACCATACGATCGAAAAAAAAAATGGCGTCAGCGATGGCTATGAAATCAAGATCGCTGTCATTCTATATGAAAATATATAATATTTATGGAAATATATAATATGGATATAGGGAATGTCATCGATCGTCATGTCCCAGCCAACTGGACGGGAGGCCGAACGGACGCAGTTTTTTCAATCATACGGTATTATTGACCAGTAAATACACAAACCAATATCAGCTCACCACACTAAGATTCTGTCGCGTACGCCCCTGGGCCTACAGGCAATATGAGCGGCTAAACTAGAAATTTAGCAAGTCTGGACGCGATGTTTCATGTTACAATAGCAGTGTTGCGCAACATCTTTTGATCTTTACCAATTACAAATGGATAACATCTAGCAAGTTATATAGCAGCGAAATTTGCTAAATATGAACATGTTATATTACTTAGCAGTGTTATATAGCAAGTGTGGACCGTCCTTTAGCCACTGTAGTGCTTACAGCCCGCTAAATAGAGAATGATATGCGAACTTATTGCGCACCTCCGTTGATGCGCAATAGAGAATCGTTATTGACAAAGGTTTAGTTTGGATTTTCTGTTTTGGTTTTGTTTTTCAATTTACCTATGGTTTGAAGAGTAGAGAGGGCATAAGCAGAAGCACTTTTTTCTACACAAAGTTTAATAAAATCGGTTCATCTACAAAACAGGATATATCAACATTTGAAAGTAAAAAATGCTTAAACATCCCCCACCACTTTTTTTACAAAATAGAGAAAAATCGGGTGAAGCAAAAAAATGCAAATGTGCAAAACATTTTTGCACTTTTTTGCACTAAAACCATTCATCGGGTATAGTACGATTTGCTTGTGATTGGTGGATAAGAGCTAGCGACGTTTTCGAGAGATAATTTTAAGAAAGTTAATTCTTGTAATGAAGTTCATAAATTTTGGGGCTCATTTCTGGGACACCCCGTATACTGTACTTAAATAATAGGGACTTTTTCTGTAAACAAGGTTAGGCAATGTATTTTATTGTTAACTCATTATGGTAATGAACTTAATATTTTTTTCCTGATGGTGCTAGCCACAAAATAGAAATCATTAAGTTGATTTCTATTTTGTGGTGCTAGCTCTTGTACTATTATATTTTTATTAAGGTTAGATTAAATTTATCAAAAACGTGTCGAAACGTCCGTTTTCGTACGATCTTTCTCCGTTGACGGGCTGGAGTAAAAAATTTACGGATGAAAAGTGGCGCGAAAACGTTAGAACCAATCAGGACCATCGCACAGTGCATAGATTATATAGGATGACGGGACAAAAATCATAGCGCTATTACTATGCATCCGATTTTGTTGAAATTTAGTACCCAAAGGTTTTTGAGGTTGAAGATCAAGAATTTGAGGCCAAAATTAAGGTCAGAAAATTCTGGATATTTTTTATTTCCATAATTTTGAAAATAAATAAAATAAAATGTAATATCTAATATAAAACCATAAAGGATATATTTTCAGACAATATATAATATTTTAAACTAACTCAAAATGCCTTATTGGGAAGTTTTTAAACTAATAATTTAGGAAAATCTGGTGATCATTTTTGAAAAAATTAATCTAAAGATTATTTTATTTTTAAAGTTATAAAACAAGACCCTTTCCTAAGAAAAAAATAAATAAGACAAAAAAATCCACGTACAGGGTGATTCATCATAATTGAACCTCCCTTTAACTCGTTTATTTCGCCTCGCACTAAAAAGTGATTTTCCGATTTTTCTCATTTTACACTCAGAAGACAGTCGCTGACAAACCCTGAAAGAATCAGCTTGTCCGGATTTTTTTTATTTTCGTGCTCTATACGGCCATACAATTTTACTGGATAATGGGGTTTAAAAATAATATGTAGTACGCCATTTTGTGGTGGTGGCCATTTTGAAGATACTGAATACATATAGGTACCTAACTAATTGAATTGTTATCAAAACTAAAGGTGTGTACCAAATTTTGTATCAGTGGGTCGACAACAAGTTGGTGAAAATTGAATGACTAGAAAAAAAAATAGATAAAACCGTTTATAAAAAAGTAAAGAGCAAGTAGGAGCAGACAAACTCTACATGATATGAATTCTAAGTATTTACTTAGAAGGCGACAAGAAAACGCTTAAACTTGTTAGGCGACAAGAAAACGCTTAAACTACAAAGTGATATTTCATGATTTTTTTTAAATCCAATTTATAAATAGATAACCAAAAAATTTGTATTGATTTAGGATGGCATGTTAAGCATAGGAAAAAAATACAAGTAAGCCAGCACCCAAAGCAAATATATGTTTTAAAGTACACACCTTGATCTATGTCCTCCATAATTTCCAGGGGGTTAATTGCAAACCTTTCCACTTTTTAAGCGCACTTCCACGCACAAACAATAAGTTTCGCGGGTGATAAGAAATGAACCGCAACAAAAACCGGTTTTTTATGTTTTTTATAATTTCAGTTGTATTATAAATCATCGATTACGCACTTTTTTTGCATGAAATTGAAACTTGCTTTCTTTATTTTTGGGCATTGTTCGATGCACTGTGCATCGTATCAACAGATAACGGACACATGAAAATCAAGCTTTGGTGCTTTTTATTTTGCAACCTATAATACCTGTCGATATTATGATATTAAATTGTTTAATCCAATTGTCTATTGTATAATATTATTGTTGCTTTAGAAATCGGGTTCAAAAAAAGCTTAAAATTTCTGTTTTCATAGAACAAAAAAACTAAATCAAAATCATATGGAATCCTATTTACTAAAATTTTTTAGTAACAATATTTTTATATCTATAAAAACATGTTAGACGTTTTATTTTATACGAAACCTTTATTTATCAAATCTTAAAAATACCTCCACGCTTGCAATAAAATTTAAAGAAATCAGTAAAGTGAAAAATCGCAGTTGTCACAAACCAGGAATCCTATTCAGAAATATATATTTTTAGCGATATATAAGAGATTCGAACGTTGTTGTCTTCTTTTGTGATATATATTTCAATGAAATTCGCAAGATTATTGTTCCATTCTTCATATTTTTTTTTATCATTTTATGCTCCAGTTCAATCTTTGTTAAAGTTATTGACGTTTTTCTTATATTTTGAACTGGTTGTTAGCCTTTTGCACTGATTTAGATCTATTTATTAGTCAAACAAATTTGAATTTTGGTTATTTCTGGTGTATGAGTTTCTTCTCGCACTAAAATTAATCTATTAGAAG